TCAGTTGTGGTTGTTAAGTCAAGGGCTGCCTCTATACAGTACTTTTCCAGTCAATGTTATATATATCTGAGAAGGTACACTTTTTCCAATGATTTTGAAATCATTCTTAACAAAGCCACAATTTTGAACCAGAAATCAGAAATCACCAGAATAATACAATAAAAAAGTTGGTAAGGACAAGAACAGAACCAGATGCAAATGTTAAGCACCCATATGCTATATTACACCCAGAAGGAAACTATATAATAGTAGTAACTGTGAGAGGGATCTCGGAGTCCTAGTGGACAATCACTTAAATATGAGCCAGCCGTGTGCTGCAGCTGCCAAAAAAGCCAACACAGTGCTGGGCTGCATTAACAGAGGGATAGAATCAAGATCACATGAAGTGTTAATACCACTTTACAATGCCTTGGTAAGGCCACACTTGGAATACTGCATCCAGTTTTGGTCACCACGATGTGAAAAAGATGTTGAGACTCTAGAAAGAGTACAGAGAAGAGCAACAAAGATGATTAGGGGACTGGAGGCTAAATCATATAAGGAACGGTTGCTGGAATTGGGTCTGTCTAGTTTAATGAAGAGAAGGACGAGGGGGGACATGAGAGCAGTCTTCCAATATCTCAGGGGCTGCCCCAAAGAAGAGGGAGTCAAGCTATTCTCCAAAGCCCAAAGTCTTGCAAGACAAGAAGCAACGGATGGAAATTAACCAAAGAGAGAAGCAACCTAGAACTAAGGAGAAATTTCCTGACAGTTAGAACAATTAACCAGTGGAACAACCTGCCTCCAGAAGTGGTGAATGCTCCAACACTGGAAATAATAATAATAATAATAATAATAATAATAATAATAGTAGTAGTAAAGTTGGAAGGGACCTTGAAGGTCATCTAGTCCAACCCCCTGCTCAGGCAGGAAACCCTATACCATTTCGGACAAATGGCTGTCCAGTCTCTTCTTAAAAACTTCCAGTGTTGGAGCATTCACCGCTTCTGGAGGCAGGTTGTTCCACTGGTTNTCCACTGGTTAATTGTTCTAACTGTCAGGAAGTTTCTCCTTAGTTCTAGGTTGCTTCTCTCCTTGATTAGTTTCCATCCGTTGCTTCTTGTCCTGCCTTCAGGCGCTTTGGAGAATAGCTTGACTCCCTCTTCTTTGGGGCAGCCCCTGAGATATTGGAAGACTGCTATCATGTCCCCCCTCGTCCTTCTCTTCATTAACCTAGACATACCCAATTCCAGCAGCCTTTCTTTATATGCTTTAGCCTCCAGTCCCCTAATCATCTTTGTTGCTCTTTTCTGTACTCAACATTTTTAATATATATATATAGCTATATTTTTTTATATTGCTATATTAATATAGCAATATAGAGGAATGAAATGAATAAGAAATGATCAAACTTGCTCCATTTACTTTTACTTAAGTTTCAAACTCAAGCAAAGAAAATGTTGGCTTAGCCTGATCTGTTTTGGGGAATGCACCCTGGAATTAGGAGTATTCATGACAAGCCACAGCAATGTCAAAAAAATGATACTTGGGTCGTGAGTTAGCGATCTCCAAATTGGCAATTCTAAGACTTGTAGACTTCAACTCCCAGAATTCCTCGGCCAGCATGGGTTCTGGGTGAGAGTTGAATTCTGGGAGTTGAAGTCCACAAGTCTTAGAGTGGCCAAGTTTGGAGATCCCCGATTTATGATATAAAAGCTTCGCTTACGAAGCGGTATAGTGGTATCCAACGCAAGGACGTAAGTTGGGCCTTTTGGGCCCTGATCTCAAGATACAAATGTTTTCATTTGCGTTCTTACTCTCCTAGATTCCCATGCCCAGAATGCCACGGAAAGGACAAATGTCAACCCTCACCATGAAGATCACTGAACTATTGGGCAACTGGACACAAACACAAGGCTGTATGCTGCCTGGTCAAGAACAACCCTGGCCTGTACGGAAATTGCTAAGTAGACTGCATGCCGGAGTAGGAAGATCAAAGGACCGTCTAAGAAATTGGGACATCCCTACAGAGATGCTCTGTGTGAATGTGGAGAAAAACAATCCGTGTCATAGGAGCCGTGGTGGCGCAGTGGTTAGAATGCAGTACTGCAGGCTACATCTGCTGGCTGTTCGATCCTGACCGGCTCAAGGTTGTGACTCAGCCTTCCATCCTTCCGAGGTCAGTAAAATGAGGACCCAGATTGTTGGGGGTGATATGCTGACTCTGTAAAGCGCTTAGAGAGGGGCTGCTATTGCTATTGCTATACACAGGTAGTCCTCGACTTACAACAGTTCCTTTAATGACCGTTCGAAGTTACATCACTGAAAAAAGGGACTTATGACCATTTTCCCCACTTACAAGCATGACAGCATCCCCCAAGGTCATGTGTTCAAAATTCACGCGCTTGACTCAGACTTTTGACGGTTGCAGTGTCCCGCGGTCATGTGATCCACTTTTGCGACCTTCTGGCAAGCAAAGTCAACGGGGAAGCCAAATTCACTTAAGCAACCGTGTTACTAACTTAAGTGCGGTGATTCACTTAACAACTGTGGCAAGAAAGGTCGTAAAAGGGGGCAAAACTCACTTAACAAATGTCTCACTTAGCAACAGAAATTCTGGGCTCAATCGTGGTCGTTAGTCGAAGACTCTTTTATGGTCCTTCAACATGCACGGAGGAAGACCTCCCCCTGAGCGAATTAGTTTTAATCCTATTTATTCTGCATACTTTTTACACGTGCTATATTTCTGTGACCTATTTTATACCTATTTTTTTCTGCTCAGTGTTGAATGTTACACGTTTATACTTTGTAGGTGCTTCTGACATGAATCAAGAAAGGAGCAATAAAGAAGAATTTTTGTACTCAGGGTTGAAATGAGGGGTCACTGGTGCTCTCTGAGCTGGGCTGTTTTCTTGCAGACGTTTCATTACCAAACTAGGTAACGTCATCAGTGCTAGTAAGGGAGTAGGGTTTGCTGAACACTTACTAGTGCTGATGATGTTACCTAGTTTGAGTAATGAGACGTCTGCAAGAAAACAACCAAAAACCCCCCAACTGGGCAACCTAAATCCTTGGAAGACAACCTGTTTAGTTCCCAAAACACAAATTCACACCTGTGCAAATAATTCCACTTTACCTGGTTCTGCGCTGTTCTCTCTTGGAGCTGACGGGACGGAGTCTATGAGCCCTTCCGATCCTAAATGGTCCGGGGTATCTTCTTCCACCAGCTTTGGGGAATGGCAGAAGACGCCGCTGTCATGCAAGGCTTGTTCCTCCTCATCCTCATCGTCCAAGGAACCAATCGTTTCCTCGAAAAAAAGCAGGACATCCTTTTCTTCGTGCGTGAGATCTCTCAAGCGTTCGTCTTCATCCTAAGATTTAACCACAAAGGCAAACGAAACTCAGGGTTTTGAATATGAGAAAGTACAGGAAGTCCTCGACTTACAACAGTTTGTTTCGTGACCGTTCAAAGTTACCAGGGCGCCGAAAAAAGTGACTTATTGACCGCTTTTCACACTTACGACCGTTGCAGCATCCCCAAGGTCACGTGATCAAAATTCAGAGGCTCGGCAACTGACTCGCAATTATGACGGTTGCCGCGTCTCGGGGTCATGCGATTGCTGCCTTTTGCGACCTCCTGACGAGCAAAGTCAATGGGGGAAGCCAGGTTCACTTAACGACCGTGTTACTAACTTACCCAGTGCAGTGATTCACTTAACAACCGTGGCAGGACAGGTCGTAAAATGGGGCAAAATTCACGTAACAAATGTTTCACTGAGCAACAGAACTTTTGGGGCTCAGTTGTGGTTGTTAAGTCAAGGGCTGCCTCTATACAGTACTTTTCCAGTCAATGTTATATATATCTGAGAAGGTACACTTTTTCCAATGATTTTGAAATCATTCTTAACAAAGCCACAATTTTGAACCAGAAATCAGAAATCACCAGAATAATACAATAAAAAAGTTGGTAAGGACAAGAACAGAACCAGATGCAAA